ACTGTTTGAAACAGTGACTGTATGGATTTGGTAATGGATTCTGAGTAGCTGTCAAGTGGCATAGACTTTAATGGTTTCCCATGAGTCTTTTGGTTATAATTCATCCTTTTATTGATAGGATTTCAACCACTTTCAATCCACCTCCAAGTGTGCTGTATACATGTTGGAAACCTTCTATATGTTCTATATGTGTGATGTACACTTTTATAGATCGTCTGTGAATATTGACTGACACGGGAGGAAGTCTTGTCCATTCTTTACCTCGAAATCTATAGTTGCATTATAAGATAAGGTATCTGGATTAAATAAAAACGCTACTATTGCTACTGTGACACAACAAATCATGCTGCAGACTTGCAACTAAGATCATATTCTAGCTGAAATTCTGTTGATTCAGCAGAATGTCAAGAGATTTGACACATCTTCAAAAGTTACGAAGCTAGATCCTGAAGAAAACCAGCATTACTGAAATATCATTCTTCTTGAAAAACTTTCAAAGGAATCAATGTGATTCCAAATGCTAGGGGTAGGATTTCATGGTCAAGGAACCATTTTATAAGGTTCATACTATCACATGGGAATACAGTGATTCCTCGCCATATCGCGGTTCGGCTATCGCGAACTCGATATATCGCGGGTTTTCAAATGTATTATATGTAAAATATTATCACGGGCCCCTCACAATACCGCGGGTTTTCCGAGGAGGTATGGCCAGATGATTTCGTACAAGGCACGCTATTGGCCGGTAGAACGGGAAGTACCAATCAGAGAACACTGATTAGTGCAATTGGCTTTCCGACCGCAGCATTCAGCCTCTCATTTCAACATCTTCCCGCTCCTGTCGGGCCCACTTTGCTTCTACGCATCCGTACGCGACATACGCCAAGTTTTGTACTCTGTGTTTTAGTGCATTTTTGTGCCTTTATTAAAGCCATAAGATGTCACCTAAACGTTCTACGTCTTCCCAGGATTTTGGCAGCAAGCCCAAGCGTCGTAGGAAGATGCTAACCATTGCTGAAAAGGTTGAACTTTTGGACATGTTAAAAGAAGGACGAAGTTATGCAAGTGTCGGCCACCATTACGGCCGACACTCGCATAACTTTACTCACTCGCAGATTTTCATGCCCTACTTCGCGGATTTTCGCCTATCGCGGGGGTGTCTGGAACCTAACCCCCACGATAGGTGAGGGATGTATTGCTTTTAGGTGTAACAGCATTATGGGGACAGTGATCTGGTTGGCAGAGGTTTGCACTATTTGAGTGCTGTCTGTATACTATGATACTGCTCTAACCTCCATCTGATGAGTGACCTTTTGGCCTTCTTCTAAGTAGCTCTGGCTTTACTACATATCTGACTTAAATCATCTTCCCAACTCACTGTCTCTGCATCAATAACTTACCAATGCACTTGCTCATCCTTCAAAGCCAGAGTAAATCACAGAGCTCACCTGAAGAACATCCTCAATACACCTAGCATTTCTGCCTGAATTCACTGTCAATAAGACCCAGACAAGGGGCTGGCATTGACACAGTTATCAGCTCTGGCTGCCTTTCATTCTGTGAAACTCAGCACAGTAGAAAATCTCAAAAAGTTAGACAATATGACTCATGACCCATTTCGTTACCCACCCTACATGATGTCTCTACTAATGGAAAGTTTAGCTCCATGACTGCAGTGCATTTGTTAGCACGTTCTGGATGTCCTTCACATGCCTGGGACTATAGCCATACAGTAGACGTGTGCTGTGCCAGTGCTGTAGAAGCCAATGCAGTATGACTGTGATTATGGCCGTAAAGCAGTCTATATATAGACATGTACCCAACAGCAGCTCCTCCTTTGCTCGCTAACACCCTTGGGATCTAATGACATAGCCAAGGGGTTAATGCTTCATACTGGCTAAAACCTTCACTCTAGCAATCACAGTAATTGCAAGAGGACAACTGGCTGGAGAAAAATCAACAACCTTTAAATACAATACACAGTCAGGGGGCAGAGGTACCGTATGTTTCCCAGTCTGCTGCTGCTGCTGCTGGGAGGACAAAATGTCCTGATGGAGCAACTTCCACGCCTGGATGGTTTTGCTTTGACATTTCCTTTCTGCCAAATCTTGGCTGCAGTTGGACAGAAGAGAGAAACTGTGATCCTCCTCTTCACTAACATCTCCACAGTTAAAAAAAAAAAAAGCCTCAGGTGAGGGGTGGGAGAAATGCCATCTCCTTAACAAAGGACACTCCACATTCTTGCTGCAGTCCATGACTAGCCTAGATTGTGACACATTTGGGTAATGTGCTTTACCTTGGAGCTGCCAGGCCTCGTGCCAAACCAGCCACTCATACACACACAGCAACATCCACAGTCCTGTGAGAAAAAGATTTGCTGTCTCTCTATATATGCAAGACTGATATCAACTGTGCAAGTAGCTGTACTTTATTAGGTTTCTGCTGGGACACTGCCTCAGAAGCCGTTTATACGTGTCTGTTATAATCAGGAAATACATCCCGTTTATCTGACTTTCAGCAACAACTTGATTGCTGAATTTTTATTTATATGAAGATATGTAACTTGCTGCTGCCTTGTTAATTAGAGAAGTTAATCAAATACATGGCATAAACGTAAACACACACATCATGCACCAGCTCCATCTGAAAGTCTGTCTATATGCCAAAAAGCTTTGTAGTCAGGAGGAGTTGGCAGTCTTCTTGTCATGCAGCCATAGCATAGCTGTATGTTCACAAAAGCTGTTGAAAACCATTTAAATACATCATTACGAATAAATGACAGGAAGGCCGACTCACTGGTGGCTGCATGATATAATCAAAATCGTGATATGCAAAGCAATGTTGTTCTTATGAAACAAAAGTATGGATTTTACGCATCATTTTCTTAAGGTGTTATTTATAGGCTTTAGTTTTACATAATTTACACAGAATGAAAAGACTTGAGTTACTCAAGTGCATCCCTTTACTATACACATAAATGTAGCTGTGCTTTCATGCAGCAGCTGCTGTTCTGATTGTCTTGCAATATGTTGACCATTGTCTAATCACCTGAATTGTTACAGGAGACATTGTGTCATGATAGCGTTGTATATTACAACTCCTACCCTAAAAAAAAAAAGGTCTGTTCGTTTAATGACATCCACAACAGATGGAAACCCTTGCAAACTGCAGAGAGCAAAGACACTGAAATAAGAATTAGAGAAACATTCAACTATGTGGGTGAAAAGAATAAAAAAATCACAATTAAATCATCCTTTTGAACAATACTGCAAATATTGGTTTGCTGGGCCTTGGTGTACAAGAGCCAAATTTGATTTAGTCTGATGTTAGTGCTCCTCTGTTTGTATTGGAGTACAGGTTATTAGCCTCCTGTGTGAAATTGGATTTGTTTGGGATATTCTGTGTGTAATTAACCTCCTGAAGCAAATGTGAAAAGCGTTTGAATGATCTTCAGGTCAGTTGTGCTGCATGGGTATCTGGTTACATTCAATTTGGTAGGATAAAGTATAATTTTAAGACAACATTTTTAACATCACACGGTTGTCCAGCACACCACTTCGCAATGTCATTTCCATCTGTGCTCTTGTTGCTCCCTCACTCCCACCCTCCCTCCCTCCTTCCCCTCTCTCTGGCTTCTCCTCCATGTGACACTGCTAGGGACCATTCTGTCTGTCAGCCAGACAAGTCTATGCACTTCCTATATCTGACTGGTGATTAGACCTGGAGGTGATTATCTCTCATCTACACCAAAATTTAGAAAAGAAAGAGAGCAAACAGCAAACTATATGACAAAAACTTACATCTGCAATAGCCACTTAAGCCTGGGAGCTGAGGTGACCTTCTCGGCTTTCATTTCGCTTGGTCTTTTTACCCCTCCCTCTTTCCCAGAACAAGTGAGTAATTAGAGCAGAAACATTTTCCTGCACATCCCGGCTGTCTGCGTACCAAGCTGCTTTTGTGTCTGTCTCTCTGCAGTCTGTACACAGACAGTGTTCACTGAAGCTGGTGTTATTGCAAACATTATTGCTGTCATTTTTCTAGTAGCGGCTCTGATTAAATGCTTACAGTATGTGCAAGCCACATCTGAGGATCCATGTCATGCATGAGCTAAGACCCATGTTGTTTTCATGTGCAGTGAGCCAGGGTACTATCATTTCAGAGAATGTGGTCATCACAGATTAGATGTACACTATTTTATTTTTCTCCTCACAGGGGGCAGAGTTTAATTTCACTCATAAATATGAACACTAGGTTACCCAGAGATAAGAAAAGTGGTATTAATGCCGGAAGCTCACTAAACACTATCCTAAATATACAAGGAGACTGCCTGGGCCACAGCACATATGAATATTTCCTGTGACCTGCCTTTGGTCAATAACCACCTTTCATTCCCAACGGTCCACGGTACTTTTCATTCTGCACTAAGCAGCCTACATCTCTTCCTGCCTATTGTGCCAGATATAACCTAACAATAAACGTAACATCTCTTAAGTAAGCTTCATTACTGTTCTTGTTTGAAAAACTACCCCGTCCTTTTCAGGCTGACCCATATCTCTCTAAATTAAACAGCCAATTATAAGCTACTGTAAGTCCCCTTATAATAAAAAATAGCTGTATCAGCCTAAACAAATTCAAGTTGCGGGTATAATTTTATTATTAAAATGAGGTATAAAACGTAATACTCCTACGATGATAGTTTTATGCCGCTTTCTTTCCTTTTTACATTTAGCTATCAAGTGACAAGCAAAGCCTTAAGCCATATGTATCCATCCTTTGTAGCATATAGTAAACGCTTTCGGCATTGTGATAGAAAAAGTGGTGTAAAACAGAGATCGACCATAGACAAAGCTAAAATCTACTATAACCTCCTCAAAGTTGGGACAAAAAAAAAAAAAAGACTTCCCCGTTGTCGCGCGTCAGTCATGCACACAACGCCCATCATCATCGAGGAGAATTAAAAAGAGACAAGGTGAAGAAAAGCAGTTTCCCCTTGTCCTTACCGTCGAAGACCTTGAAACGATGACGGCCAGGACATCCGGGATTTCTTCAGCCCGGGTCGGTGCCCCGTGTCCACTGCATAAGTCCGGTCCATGTTCCTCGGTTTGAGGTATCTCTCGGTGTCCGAAAAGCCTCTTTGTCTCACTCGGTCGTTCTTGCGCACTACCAGCGCGTGGTGGAGCGGAGAGAGCGCTGCCTGACTCTGCTGCCTCCACAGATGTTTGGGCGCCTTCTCACTCACACCGGTTCCGCCACCGGCAACTAAAGACGCCGTCCCCACTTTCCCACAGGCAGGGTCCATCGTCCTTGCCACGTTGGTTTTAAAAATATTTTCTAAAGATTTTTAACTAGCATTCAAACGGAATAACCAAGGGGGTGTGATGCGAGAGGGTCGAGAACACTGCGAGTTAAGGCGTTTAAAAAAAACAGAAGGCTCAGTTAACACTCTAGAAATAAGATAACTTTTGTGTTACTCTCGGTGCTTCACGTCTAGTTTGCTTTTTTTGGAGCTCATGTGATGAGTTTAACTCCGTCAACTTTATACTCTCTGCCCTGCAGAAATACACCGGACAAAACCAAACATGAATCCATTTACGCATCACGAGGTAGAACTCTATAACTGCGGTGTGGAAGTGACAAGTGTCCCTGAGTGAGGCTACGAGGAGGAACTCTTTCAATTGAGTTTGGTGTCCAACTGCTCCCTGCTTTCTCCGTCAACGCCCATTTCACAAAGGTGCTTATTGTTGCGCGGTGCAAGATGTTTTGTGCAGGACGATCCAGGGCGATGGTCTCCCAGCTGTAGTTTACCTGATACACGGTTTGCGTAAAACCAACACTGTTCTTCCCAGACCCCGCGGTGAAAGAATATAGGGAACAGGATAATGCATTAAACATGAGGGACCCACCCAAAGCACCTCCCCTGAAATCTTCCATGAGTGAAAAGCTGGAGGGAGCTGTGGGCAGAGAGCCATGTGGTCAAATCATAAAGGCTACAATAACAAGACAACCAGTTTTATGATTCAGTGGTCCAAATGAGATTTAGGTTTATCACAAAAATCATTTTTACAGAGCTGTAAAAGTGGACACACTGGATAGAAATAGTCAAATTAGGAATTTATTTGTCCACACACTGCAGGTAAAATAAGCTCGCCTTCACAGCAGTTAAAGAGGGTCATTATAGGATGTGTATCTGTGCCTGTGATGCCCACCAGGAACAGAGTAGTGCAAACATCCACTCACCTTGTTAAATATCCACTCCACTGTTGTGTTTCTCATCATTTCTAGACACTTTCAGGGAAGACCACCATCTCTCCTACCTCTCCTTGCACTATTCTTGCAGCTAAAGCACATCACTCTGGAAGCTAAGAGTGTGGGGAATGCAGCCTCTCCTACTTTAACAGCAGAAATGTAATCTTCTCAGAAACAACCTGATTGAAAACAGAAGTGACAGTAAGGCCTAAGTATAAATGTGGTAGGACAGCACACAGAGCAAAGTGAACAGGAGCACATGCATGTACACATGAGCAGATTTGTGTTGGTCCACCTTTACCTACGCTGAAATTCACCATACTCCTTGCAAGGATACACACATACAGCAGGTGCAGCAACAGTGAATAGCCTACTGCACACACTGACAAATGACCTGAGCCTTCATTTGTACATCTTTCTCATTTGTTTTCCATTGCCTTGTTCCTAAAGGAGATCATGGGGAAGACTTTATCCTAGTGGGAGTCTCCCTCACAAAATAGTATACCAAATGGACAACTGTTTTTTTTACATAAGCACACACTGTATGTCACTGGACTTAACTTTGTAAACATCCAACATCTGTTGACATATATCTGTCAGTAACCAAGTTAACAGTGCTTCAAGCCATAGCACGGTGCAAATATTGTATCATTAATGCTTTAATATATCTTTAATTAGTTTTGTGCCATTTTAATTGTAGCTATTCTTATTTATGTTTTCTGTTGATGCTGAATTGGATTGTTATTTTGGGATACTGAGATACTGTCTGAGATAACTTCCGTAGAGGGAAGTCATTAATTAGTGTTACCTTTCAGGCCTGACTAAATTACAGGAAATCGTTTAGTCACAGCAGTTTTATAACCCTCCCTAAAATTTGCACAAACCTAAAAAAAAAACATATTTTGCAAATATAGAAACCCTATCAGTTTCACACAGTGCATTTTACAGATTTTTAATTAAAAAGAAGACAACACTGATATCAGATCAATATACTTTGATGCTGTGCGTGTGTATCTATGACCTGTGTGTGTGGGTGTAAACATAAAAAGAAAAAGAAGAGAGAGGAACAGTTCGTTTCCAGTTGATCTCTGACACAATGCATATGACTCTTGGGATGACATTTTAGCGTTGGTAAAATCAATGTACTGAAAATTTGTTTTGAACCACTATTGAGTCCATTTCCAATACTATTATACTGGTACAACTTACACCCCTTACGTTATTTATAGGACCAGCAAGTCCTGCAGGCTCTCTTGGGACAACGCTTATGCATTCTGAGGCACAGTGAGCTATAAATTATGTCAAACTCTATACCCTTAAACAAAAGCTGTCATACTAGAGGTGGACACTTGCTGAGGACGGGCAAAGGCAAAAGCACTAGTACCGTTTAATGGACAGAATCAGTGTTTTGTATTCAATTTATGAGAGCAACTAATGGAAACACAGTGCACTAATGTGTGCTACTTTGTTACAAGTGCATTAATTCTGCAGACAGTCTCATTTAGCCATACAAAGTTAACGGTGCTAAATTCACTCAAAAGTTGCAGTTGGAGCATTAAGTGTGGCATGTCTTCCATCCTTCATGCTTCACAACTGTATATTTCTTCCTGGCCGTTGTGCTGAATTATAGATGAATCAAGCTTGAAGCTAAGTTAAGATGTATGGCTTTTGTTAAAATTCTCCCCATCACCTATTTCCTCTTAAAGTCCATTTTTTAATAAATTGCTCGTACTTAGTTTGCCCCGTTTGGGAAGCAGTCGAATTTGCTTGATGTGGTGTTAACATGATAAAACATGACTGATGGTTTAATAGGCTTTTATGAAACCAGAAAGGGCTGAATTCTGATCAGTCCAAAAGACGAGAAGAAGCAGTGACATCACTGAAAATACTCAATACATCTATCTGAAGTAGAGGAGATGGTGACAGGTCTGTTGTATCTTTGTCTTACTTCTAATAACAGTGCAACCTGCTTTCAAATTAATCAGTCAATCCTTATCCAGCCAGTATCGTGGTCATTGTTACACATATGGTAATAGTTCGTTCTTTTGTGGTTTTCAAATTAGTTTTTCAACATTTATTCAGCAAGGACCGGCTTCATCTACCTCTAACACCTGACACCTTTTGTCATTACCATAACGATTTGTGCTGCTTCATCACAGTTCGATTTTTCTGTTGGTGTAAACAATGTACATGTGTGACTCACCTTGCTGCAGGTAAAAATGGCAACAAAATAAAAATAAAAAACATACTGTTTCTTGGAATCAACATACTTTTGATATTTAAACTAATTTCAGCACTATTGTATATCATAGTTGCCATAAAAAGTCCTCTGCCTGCATGAAAATGTAGTTTAGAACTATGATGTCAAATTTTCTTGTTTCGTTATCAAGTGATCTACAAGTCAATAACACGTTCTGTTTGTCCTTGGCATCTTATAACATATTCTGTAATTAAAACCATTTTAACAAGCTTAGGCTTTATTAATAAGCTGTACCTTACTGCTCCTCTATTTATTCATGCTGAGCCCTCATCCTTGGCAAAGAGAGAGAGGACAAGATGCTCAGGAACAAGGAGGTGGGGGGATGCATTTTCTTACTCATCTGGCTCATGACAAGTCATTGAACAGTTTAATGCAGAGAGAACGATGGCACACTTATCACCAGCACGCCATCACGATCAAAGCCAAGTTAATGGAGCGCCATGTTCTCTTTGATTGACTGGTGAACTCGCATTTATTTCCATGTACAATACAAACACAGGACAATAGGGATTTTCCACTGACAGAAGGGTTTGACCACCACATTTTTATGGTATTTCCAACTGTCTGGATATATTTCTGGCCCATTCTCTAAGTTAAATTATGACTTTCCCGGTAGAGCACTATGATGTTTGTTATGGTTGCTTCTGTCTCTCCTCAAAGAATCAAGCTGCTTGGGGGATTGGTATCTGTCTCTGCCAAACCTCATTCTGATTCTTTTCTCAGTTGTTGTGTGGTCATGTTTTCCAAGTGCAAGAGACTGTGAGTGCACACTGAAAGTAATTTCTTATACATGTGTTTGTTCTCTGTCAAACCAAGAAGATTGCTATAACCTTTCTGGGATAGTTACAGTAAAAAAACAAAAACAAACTAACAGCAAGTATTACAAGACACCGTGTTGTATAGCAGTACAGACCAATCAAAACCATCATGCCAAATGTAGAAATATTCAGTAGTAGAGGTTTTCAAAAATACAAAAATAGACAGCTCTTCATTGTAGTTTTATGTGATTCTTGGGTTGGTTTCATCTCGTCATGTTTCAAATTGCAAATTTCATTTCCTGTTTTAAGATTAGTAAGTGACAGTGGTGAGAAACAAATCTATCAGGCCTGTTTGATTAGTCACACTCCTAAGAGCCAGTCAGAGATCATTTAAATGCCAGTGGTTTGTATATTATTAGTTCACTACTTTTCTGCTTTCCATTTTCCAAATCATGCCATAATTGATTTCCTCCCTTTCAAGCAGCGGTTTCTGTTCATTTCACTAATGTATCAAATAAAATTTTGAGAGACTTGAACATTGTGTGGGGGAGGTAATCCATCACACTGAACATTTTGCTGCTTGTATGGATAGTTTCAGTTTGCATTTTAGTTTTTCAAATGAAGTTATGGTCATGTGACAACTGAAAACGGGTGCTGATTTGAAAGCTCTCTCTGGTTTTGTAATTACACTCGGACAACAAAGTGAGAGCTGATAGTTGGTTAGCAACATTTTTTACATTACATTACATTCACTGGGCAAACATTTTTGTCCAAAGCCACCTGGATTCTTCTGTCTGTGTACAAACATATTAAGGCACCAATAGTATGATTATTGTACTATCCACCACCTGAGCTATAGCCACCCTTTCTTTAATAAAAAAAAAATTTGCTTATTGTTTTCTTCTGTGCCTTAGTTCTGACAACATGTGGGGCCAGTTTCACAAAGACAGACTTTATCAGTGGATTAGGTCCAATCATCAGCTAGACTTCCTATAGAAGTAAGTTGGGCTAATTGACCACAAACTCTGGCTAAACGTTATTCAGACTAAAAATCATGACTGAGCAACAGTGGTGGAATAAATACATTTGCTCAGCTTAGTACTTCAGAACAATTTTGAAGTATCTGTACTTTACTTTAGCATTTTAATTTTGTACTACTTAATACTTTGACTTTACTTCAATTTTAGAAGCACATATTGTGCTTTTTACTTTACTACATTTATAGTATAATTGTAAGACTTTATTGATCGTCAGTGGAAAATTCTCTAGCTACGCGGCAGTACTTCAAATTATAAGCATATAAAGTAGTTCAAATGAGCTCTACCCTTATCAGCTGCAACATTAATGTGACGTACACAATAAAGCATCAATAATCATAATCCAATAATATGTGCCATTCTGCATAATAAGTACTTTAACCTTTGGAATTAAATACATTGTGATGCTAATACAGTTGTGTTTAAGTAACATTTTGAATGCAGAACTTTTACTAACAAAGTATTTGTACACTGTGTTATACTTTTACTTAAGTAAACAGTTCAAGTACTTGTTCCACCACTGCCGAGCAACCTTATCAAACTGGTTTGTTCTATTAGCTCCAGCAGAAAACATTTGCCTCGG